CCGGTCACCCACCATAAGTGTCCCCATCCTGCCGCCTGTGCTTCTACCAAATTTGAAGTTCTAGGTCCACGGGGACAGGAGTTATGAATTTCCGTGCAAACAAACAAACAGACAGACAGACAGACGCGAGCGCTTTATATATAGTAAGGATTACTTCGAGAAATATTGGGAGGCGGCACACTCATAACGTGATCCCAATGAAGTTCTCGGCGGTGGAACAGTCAGCCGAAGCCGAATAAAGAACGGAATTTGCCTCTACGGTCGCCCTATTGACCGACAGAAACTCTTATGGACTATCACGTTAATCGTCCGTTGAAAAATTGGTTAACGAGCAGAACTTCCGACGAAGTGGATGGCTTGATGGCCAACGTAAAGGCGTGATCGCCTCCAAAAATCGAAACGTCTTAGCCTGTGGAATCCGAGCGCCTAGCAAATGGAGGCAGTGCTTGTCGTAGATTGTGGATATGTTCTGAGGCAACTATTTTAACATGTCTTTACTAGATATTTCCATCGTTTCTTAAGTAAGATTTGCTGAAAAAAATCCGCAATAATTATGCATCAACCTAATAGAATGCACTGCCTCCGCTGTGAAAACGGGATGTTTCAGAAAAACTTATTAGGGCTACTAAAATGGTATAAACCTTCTCAACAAAACTAATGATCTATAAGCTCGTCACCTCCGTCTAACATTAGTTTGCCGAGAAAACTTCATGCAGTTTGAGCAAGCCGCTCCTGTCCACGGTTATTTCTGATACAAGTGAAGGCTCATTACGGGAATTCACAAAAATGTCTCAAACTATTTGTTGGTCTGTCCTTAGCAACCTCACGCCTTTCTCATATCAGAGAAGGAATTTGGCACCAGATAGATGTGAAATAGACCTGAGCCATTACTCAGCAAGCACACATTACCTCATGTCGAAACTTATTTGAAGCTTCCAAATATACCGCTCGCTGCCACAAAAAAGAGTGAAATGAGAAACAATCCACTTTGATGAGCTGTTTTTGAAGAAGGATTTGTTCGGGTAGCAGCAACAAAACCTCACAGAAAGTGTCGTGGATGCAATGATGAAACAGTTAGAGGTCAGCAAGCAATGCAAAGACATAAACACTTCCTGCCCATAAGTGTCCATGTCATTGCATTGCTTATGGCTGATCCCTAACTGTTTCATCGTATCCGAAATTCATCCCGGAATACTTGCGTAACTATACGGAAATTAGCTCTGGTATCAAAGTTGTGATATATATTCATACATGGAAAAACTTCTTGTTCAATTTCCGTTATACGGGTATGGTTTTGAGGCAAAGATGATGAGAGAACCGGTTCTGGTAAAGCATTCTTTCCTCGAAACCTTGTCGACGTGAGTGCCTCCAAAATAGGCANATTTCGCGGACTTCTTGCGCACTCCCCCATATCTCTGGAAAAGCCCTGTCGGACTTCCAAATGTATGTTTGCCTGTATGTCTGTCTTCTCGCAAAGTTTCACATGATTGAGAAGATAGCAATGATATGGAGAAATCATCTCAAAGAGGAGTAACAGACAGAAGGAAGTTCAAAGAAGCGATATCAGCGACACATATCATAACTATATTAAACAGTTGGGCTATGCACACAGTCGCGTTTGTCTCAACAGACAGCGTATCAAACAAAAATGAATTTTTTATCCCAGCCCAACTCTCGAAAATTTAGGTATACGGTGCGTTATAATTTTGTGCATAGAGGTCGCAAACGTTCTGCTCGGATAAGTCTGCATTGTCTATTTGTTGACCCGTTCCTAGCCTTTGCTCATTTTTCCATTGTCTATGCGTTTCTGAAACAAATCCTGAAATTTCTTCAATAAAAAAGGGGGGCCTTTTCCGCCTACTGCGATCAGGGTCTCCTGAGCCCGGGTAACGGAACTTCTCCCCGGTTGCGGACGTTTGCTTTGCGGCACGCGGCAAATCTCACTGCAATTCCCGTACTCATCCGCGCCAATCGATAGGACGCAGTATTTTTCGTTGGCTGCCTTTCTTTTTTATCAGTTTTGAACGTTTTTCTTCTGTTTCTTTTTCGTTTTTATGTTTAGAGTTGATTAATTAGAATGACTCCTCCTATATTAGCGACGATGAAGACCGCATTGGAATTGAAGGGAGCGGCCAGCAAATTCAAATAATTGAAGGGTTCCCTGCTTCACAAATCGCGCGCTCAAATCTTACACTGCAATCCTGCGATACGCGGCGCAGTGATGCTACAGAGCGGAAGGTATCAGAGAGCATCCTCCGCCCCTTGCGTGTGGCTGCGTGGCGGTTTTAGTTATTTGCCTTCTGTTTCTCTGGGGTGTATGTCGTTTGGCGCGATGTTGTTTGCGCGCCATTTTCAAAAATGCACCACGTGTCCCCTAGCTGCCCGAAAATCAACACGCGTCCTTGCCCAGAGTCCCTTTTCATGCGTCGTATATGTGGCGGGTGAAAATCTGAGCATTCAAATGAGATTATGCCGTGAAGTAAAATGCATTGTCTACAGAAATTCTGCAGAATTCGGAGGATGCTCTTTGATACCTTCCGCTCTGTACCGTCACTCTACGCGGCGAGTGTGGCGTGCGCGACGCCTTCTCTGGGGTAGGATACCGGCCCCCCTGAGCTCACATTTGCTCTGTTGATCTTCCCCAATCTTCCCAACTTACCCTACACCTTCAGATGCCCATTCAAGAGATGCCAAGTTTCAAAACATCTAGCCAGACAGACATACAGATAGGCAAACAGACAGAATGACAGACAGATGAAGATTTCTCCACATGTAGTAAGTAATGAAGATGACTATATATTTTCTACGAGCTCTAGAATGTTTTTGAACGAAGATATGAGTGTTTGCTGTCAGTTCCGAAGGCCCTAGTGCAAATCTCGCGCTCATCGGGAATATCACCATACTCCGTTTATTGCATCTAGCCACTTTTTTCCCATTCTAGAAAGTCAAAAAAATTATTAATTTTTCATAAAAGTACCTACCATCTGAACTGGCGCCTCGCACATCGTGGCCATCGCCGATGGGTTTCCTTTATTTTACTTGTTGACCCTTCTCTCACTTTTGCTCATTTTTTCACTCAAGTTTCCCCGGTGTCTGGGCTGTTATGAAACCTGATCAGCGAACTTTGCTCATAGCACCGTCCCTTCTGTGGCCCTTGGGCGTGGAGCTTCGTTGGGCTCGCATAAGCTTTTTTTCGGTCTAACTCACTCACACTTGACCCAACCTCTGCGGGTAATTCGTCATGTAATATCTAATGCCCGTGCAAATCAAAAATGGAGATATTATATATAGACCGGTCGATTCGCCTGGCTAATGCTGGGCTTCCCTCTTTCTTATGAAAAAGTTGCAATAATCGACAGACTGGCCCTCATTATTCGGAACAAAGATACTTTTCGGAACCACAGAGGACCATAGGGCATAGGGCATGTAAGTGGTGCTCAAAATGAGCCAGTGCTTATGCCAATGATTAGAAGACTCGACCTGTTGCTGTTCATCTCGGAACTAATCTTCTATTGAAGTGTCACCTGTTGTCCCTTTGTTCATGGACTTTCACGAGCGGGCGCCAGTAACGTTTTTATTTGTCCCTGCCACTAGTCAGAATGGTCCGGCGAATCGTCCTCGCTTCAGGGGCACAAGGTCCAACATCCCTCTCGTTCAGAGCTTACGTGAAGAGTCTCACAGCCGTCTGACGGCCGTCCTGGAGTTCATTTGATGTCCTGAAGGATCCGCTCAGTAACCTCCAACGGTCATCACTGTATCGCATAACGTGTCCGGCCAATCTTATCTTCGCTTTCTTGGCGTGATCAACGACATCCTTGATCTTCGTTCTATCGCTCCTAACTCCGGATTCCCTTCTGCACTTGCGTGTATAGGTAAATTCCAACATCGTCCTTTCCACAGCGCGTTGAATGACGCTAACTGCATGCTCATCCTGCTTTCGTAGAGTCCAAGTCTCTGAGGCGTATGTCAAAGCAGGAAGGACCGCAGCGTCGAAAAGGTGAGCGCGGAGCCGGATGTTCTTCGTTTTCTTCACTACTCCCTCAATATTCTAAATGCTCCCCACGCGGCGCGTTTCCTTCTGCACAGCTCTGGAGCTAGGTCTTTCATCATGTTGACTTTCCGACCTAGATCCGAAGCCGTGCAGAACACATAGATAGAGCAATCGGAGATATTCTTTCCGTTCAGCGTGAAAGGGACACCAGAAAACATTCTTTTTTCGCGAAAATCGTCCACGTTAAGTTCAGTTTTTTCGCATCGATCTTTTCACAAGCACTGTCAAACTCGCCCAGCATTCGTTCCGCCTGCTCGATGTTTGGTGTTATGAGCACGATGTCGATGTCAAAGCGGAGATGATGTACTTAGCGGCCGTCGACCTTCACTCCCATGTTTTTCCATTCCACAGGCCAAAACAGAAAGACGATTAAAAAAAACTTCATGCATTTGCTCAGTACGACCTACCAGTCACGTTTACATATACATAATAATGCGGTTGAGAAAAACGCTAAAATGCAATTCCGTGGGAATCAAAAGATAGCAGCCTTTGCAGTAAAAAGTTTAGTGAGTACAACGAAAATTGAAATTTGTGAAAAAGCCGAGTACGAAAGAACTGTGTTGCTCCCTAAACATCCTCTCTGAAATCGCAAATCACATCGGAGAAAAATGATCAAGAATTCATTCAGCAAAACACTTCATTCCTCTATTTTGGAAAATTCCAGCAGAGTACTCTGTTCGTTCCCGGAACTTATCAAGCATATCAGCGGACAGCCCCTTTCGTGTCTGATCAAAGGAACGTCAAGCGGTTTTCCTTCTTAGAGTGAATGAAAAGGTACATTCGCTGCATAATTATGAACATTCTAAAAGCAAGAATAGTACTGAATACAAGTATGAATTTAGCGGAACGTCAGTAGAAGGCATGCAGCACATGTCTCGTTCAATTTTGAAAAAATGTAACATTCTAAGCTATCAAGCACTTATATTGATAATCTCGGTGCCGGAGCTATTCAGACATCGAATGAAGTCATAGCGATGAAACAGACTGTCAGTAGTATCGCTTCGTAACGACTGACCCCGACGTTAGGGTTATTCTGTGCCGCCAACTCTGAGTGCCGTTCGTTGGTTGTTCGGACCCGTGGTTCAGATATACGATGTCGAAGCGACAGCAAAGATTTACACGAAACGGGCAATTGATCAGAGATACCAAGTTGAGAGTAGAGTTGTTCGAAACTGAAAAAAATAGCGATTACAATCACAGTTAGCAATAACAATCATTTGCAAAGTGAGGATCTCTTCGACGCATTCACGTGATAGTTGAATGAGAGCAAAAATGAATTGTCTGCTGGGAATAACGGTAGTGTTCTCTCACGTATGCCTTGTGCAGACTTTGAAAATGATCAGTCGGATGGCTCGGCTAACGCCGGGCTTCCACATTCCTTGACAAAGTTGTAGTAATCAGCTAATTCTCCACTCCAGCTTTAAAACAAATAATATTTTCTGTATACGAAGTTTGTAAGAAAGACTACCACGCAGTCTTACATACAAATAAATACCCAATAAAGATTCAGCTGTTTAACCAAAGCCTTGGGCGGTACTAACAAATGCTTCGAGTGACGATAACATCAATATCAGATCTCGTTATCGGGGACCCTTTTATTTACGGTGATAGTATTAGTTGAGATTCCCAGATCACAAGGTTGGCTAGGTTGTGTCGTATGATATCGACCTGAGGATCCTTCATTGAGTCCCAGACCTTGCCGGGGTCTGAGAGGATANAGGTACATCAGCTGGCCACCGCAAGTCATTGTATAGGCCACATACGCAATCAATACGCCACTACGATTCTGAATGAAAGTTGAATGCGTGGGCGCATCCCTCAGACGGAATTGTTCAACGTCCCAGGTCTTTGTCCTTTTTTTACTGTATATTTTCTATTACACACGCATGGTAACAGGTTCGAATGCTTGACCAATATCCGCCTAGGCCAACCAAGCCTCCCATCTCTCCGCGGTCGATAACTGGTAGCAGGGACGAGCCAGTGCCTCTGTCTTCGCCTAGGAGGACATCGACTGGACACCGCAAATCATTATACTCGATATGCCACATACGTATTCCATCCACTACTACGCTTCTGGATGGAAGTCGAATGTGGCGCACATCCCTCAGACGAGATTGATCAACACTAGAAGTCTTTGACCTTCTATTACTTAGTTCTTATTGTTGCTAATTACTTCCTTGCCTTTGTAATTTCCTGTCTTTACAAAAGCCTTACAGTTCGGCAGTGTCATTGATGCCTGCAACAAAGAACATTGAGCATGTAATACTACAAGCATATTTCCTAACCAGTCGGGTCGCCCGGCTAACCCGGGCTTCCCTCCTTCTTATAGGTTTGCCCGGCTAGCGCTCCTGTGAGAAACTTGCTATGCGTAAATAACACTCCAGACTCTCCTTTTTCTTTGATAGCTCTACACCCTCAGTATTAGCTCCGAATTGGCAGCGATTTTTTCTGTAAACCATCTTCGCTGTGTCCGAATAGAGCATCGTACAATATCACAAAGGTGATTCTTCAGGAAAAAAGTATTTAGAGTTTCATCGCGGCTGAGGCCTCTATGTTAGGTACCATCAATGNTCACGATTAGTTATGAATTTGCGCTCAAAACTCCTATCGCTTACTCCTATTGATTTTGCTCTCCAAGTCCACGGGATCAGGAGTTATGGATTTCCATTCGTTTGTTTCGAGGAAACCCGTCCCTTGGTGGCGAACTCCAGCCCTACTACTCTAAGTGTTCCTAAGTGTTCCCACACTGTCGCCTATCGCTTATCAAGTTTGAACGCTCTAGAGTGAGACTGAAAATTTTCACGCAGACCTCGCCTTCTATGAGCGGGGTCCGGTCCTCTCACCTACGATAAATGTTCCCATCCTGCCGCCTGTACTTCTGCCAAGTTTGAATGCCCTACGGCCAAATTGACTATTTCGGCGCAAAACCCCGCCCCCTGTGCAGGAGTCCGGTCCTGCCACTTACCAAAGGTGTTCTCATCCTGCCCTTCCCTTACTCCTACCAAGTTTGAACACTCTAGGTCCACGGGGACAGGAGTTATGAATTCGCGGCTGAAAATTCTAACTCCTGTCCTAAACAAACAGGATCGGACAACGTTCACTGGGGGCGTACGCCCCGCCCCCAGTGAACATTGTCCGATCCTGCCACCAGCAATAAGAGTTCCCCCCCCCCCCTCTGCCCCCCGTATTCATGCCAAGTTCGAACGCTCTAGGTCCACGGGGACAGGAGTTATGAACTTCCGGTCAGACACAACACCGACACATACAAACACACACAAACACACCGACACACCAACAGACACGCTTATCGAATCATATAAAGTAGGATAATTTCTTTAGCGGCAGGATTCTGATAAGGATAAGGATGAAGTGAAAGCTATTTATCAAAGATTCATAATCTTCTCCCAATTTCCAGGAGAAAGAGGTCCACGTTTGCAGTGATTCATAGGTAAACACATCGCTTGTATGAAATATAACAAAAAGATTGATGTTTGACGCTAGATTCTAAAAGTTTCCATAAAATCGCTTATAGGAAAAAACTTTCAAGGCGAAACATTCCCCTATGGCGATATTTATGAAAACTGTTCAGAATGCACAAAAGTAGTGAAGCTCAAATATTCACAGTTTATCAGTAACCATTTGGGTCGCCCGGCTTACGTCGGGCCTCATTCCTTACTTTTACTAAGAGGTTAGAAAGTGTAGTTAGGGGAGGATGCACTGATTTCATTCAACACTGAGGGCTAGAGTGCAGAGGGGAGTAGCCGACCTGATCTGTACTTATTAGATACGGTTCTAGGCGAAAGAATATGGTTTCAAGCCAAGCCTCAGTAGGGGAGGAGCGGCGGGGTGTGGATGGGATGATTACCACGTGCAAAAAGCGAGGACGGGTATGATTCGAATATTCAATCGACTCACCTCACACGAAATTATGTTGAAGGAAGGCGGAGTCCTCCCACCTATATTGTCACCTCCGTTTTTTGTAGAGACATACATAGCACGATGCCGGTACAGTTCGAGATCACAGTTTTGAAGTGGCCAATTCCCTTCACATCACTCACTTAACTCCGCAGTACCCACTCTAATCCATCAACCTACCCACCAAGTTACTGCCTTATATATAAAAAAGAAGTGTAGAATGGAGCTGAATTTACCATGCCACCATCTTTACCGTAATCATAAAGTTTTGCGGACGGACAAACCGGCAAACCGACATTTCGAAATATCGACATACCGACGTACCAACAGACCGACATACTGACATACCGACAATTGACAAACCCAGTTGCTGCTTTACAAATAAGAGAGATTACCAATTTCTCCAATACTAGATCGGAGTCCTCATGCCGTTGCCTCTATAACTTCTAGCATACTTAATCACTCAAGGTCTGTAGCAAGAACCAAGTAGTGAAGCAAGTAGTGTTCTGACTTTATGTTTTGTTAACTGCTTTCATTTCGCCCAAGTACGCGTTGAAAGTCTCACAAGGTTGGCGGTTTATGGACAAAACTTCAGCCTCGGACGGGACTCGAACCCGTACTTGACTATACACTCACATCGCTCAACACGCTTCAGATATCATGAACATATACACCGTACTACAACAGTTAACAAAACATCAAGTCAAAACAAGTCCAATCATGTAAAGCTTACAGCTTAACGGTTCAGTGCTGATATCGGCCGACCGGTCAACACGTTGTACGTGTAAGTGCTGATAAGCTATCCTACTTTATATAATTCGCTA